AAAGAACAGAATGGAGGAACGACAAACTTAACTTTGATTACCTTATCCAATCTTGCCGTCATTCCGCAGAAAGTTCTGTGACCTGCCTTATCTTCACTCTTGATTACCTTGTCCTCCCATGCCATCATTCCTGAATTCCTGATCTTTCGTGGATGGATGTGTGTTTTTTTTTTTTTTGCGGGGCCAGAGCTTCATCGTTGTGTTGTGTACATAACAACAGCATCAGTCCAGAGGACCAGTCGGGGCAGAGAGCCAAACATAGCGCGACCAATGGCGATGACGCCGGCACGAAGGATCGGAGTATTAGCTTGCCACCTGGCACCCTCAGAAACTCCACCAGCATCAGCGGCAGGGTCCACCACCAGCCTCCGCTGCGATCCTTGTTCGAGCAAGTTGTCAGAAGGATGCCCCTTGAGACATCAAGGGGCCACCTTTTTCGCCCGGCGACCATATCACTCACCGTCCAATGACGGCAGTTCATCATCACTGCCAACCTCTCGATTGGCATCATCGTTTGAGAGGTTGATAGTCGAATGCCCCGAGGGAGAGGGAGCAGGCGAGGAATCATCAGAACCTACCAGCAGTACAACCACACATACCCTCTCTCTAAACCCCACTGCACAGGCGGATGCTCCTGCTCCCGCTCCTGCATCGAGCTCTATTACGACCCCCACCTATGCGTCAATTGACGGAAAGCCTTCGACTTATGCCCGAGTGCATGGCGAGGTGTCTACTGCCCCTGTCGTCTGGTCTATGGTACAGCTGTCCGGCGAGCCATTCGCGGACATTATTTATGAGAAATCGGTCGGGGAAGGTATTGCTAAGATCACAATCAACCGTCCAGAACGGCGGAATGCATTCAGACCGGAAACGATCATTGAGATGCAGCACGCCTTTTCAGATGCTCGTGATGACCCAAACATTGGTGTCATCATCCTTACCGGCCAAGGAACGCAGGCTTTCTGCAGCGGAGGGGACCAAGCTGTTCGACAGATCGGTGGCTATGTCGGTCGGGACAAGGTTCCCCGACTAAACGTCCTCGATCTCCAGATTCAGATCCGACGGCTGCCCAAGCCCGTCATCGCCATGGTTGCTGGCTATGCTGTGGGAGGTGGGCATATACTTCACATGATCTGCGACTTAACCATCGCCGCGGATAATGCGGTTTTCGGACAGACGGGACCGAAGGTCGGCAGCTTCGATGCTGGCTATGGCTGCAGCATGATGGCGCGATTGGTTGGGCAGAAAAAAGCACGGGAAATGTGGTTCCTGGCGCGCTTCTACAGTGCTCAGGAGGCTCTCCGCATGAACCTCGTCAACACCGTCGTGCCGCTCGATCAACTGGAGAGAGAGACGGTCAAGTGGAGCCGCGAGATTCTCCGCAATAGCCCCACAGCTATCCGACTGCTGAAATCTTCTCTCAACGCTATTGAAGATGGGCACGCTGGCCTTCAAGACCTCGCTGGCCATGCCACCATGCTCTTCTATCACAATGATGAAGCACTGGAAGGGAGAAATGCCTACCTTGAAGGTCGTGCTCCTGACTTTTCCAAGTTCAAAAGACTCCCATGATCTCTCTCTCTCTCTCTCTCTCTCTCTCTCTCTCTCTCTCTC